GTATACATACATTGAAAAGGTACCGCCCCAGTGATTTTTTTTTTTTTTTTTTTTCTGAGAGTGTATCAAAGTAGTTGTATTAAAATACGGCCATAAGATATGGGCATGCTGGGTAATTTTGTAATATAATGTTTTTCTCTAATAGGTACCGGTCTGGGTCTAGGAATTGTGTTCTCTGTTGTTTTCTTCAAGCGTAAGTATATTATATTATACCTTGCGTAAACCAGATTTATTAGAATGAGTCTTCATCCATTCTAATGTGAGGATTTGTTTGTGCAGGCCGGACGTGGCCCATTGTGTTTGGGACAGGACTGGGTCTTGGCATGGCTTATTCCAACTGCCAGAATGATTTGAGGTCACGTTATGTACTGCACAGTAAAGTTGCTAAGGTTTGTGTTTTGATTATGGAGGTCACGTGTTGTCTTGATCAAATCTCACCAAGCCGTTCAAGTCTGTGTGGCCGAAATATCTGTTTGCATTTTATACATTTATTAAAACATGCATATAATTATCCTAAATGTGAATGGATGAAAATATTTCTAGAAATTTTTTTTATGAATAATTTATAAAATGTATATACAAAAATCTGTTGTCATTAAGATACTATTCAAGTTTTTGTTAATAGTTTGAATGAGCTTTTTATATTTTCTGTTTTAATCTTAAAGTTTTAATATTTTTAGTAATTGTCTTAATTTTTGTTTGAATAAATGTGTACAGCTCTGTCTGGATGATTACAATTAGTACATCTGTCAGTTATTCTGAAGTCATAAAAGCTTCATGTGTAATGGAAAAATTTAAAAAAATATATTATTAATAATACATTGTATATATTTTATGTATGTCTATATAGCTATTACATTTGAGTTAATTTAGTACTTCAGTTTTGAACAAAAATGAGAAGCCTTTGCATCAAGCTGAAATAAAATAAAAAAAACACTATTTTATTTCAAGTAATATTTAGTTGTTGTTTTTTTAGTTAATAATGATAATGATATGGTTTTAGTTAATAATGATAACCCTAATAAAAATGTGCTTTTGCCCAACTGTATATTCAATTATATTCAGTTATTGCAATGTTTGTTAAATTGTGACATTCTTTTGCTTTTCCATATGAATATTATTTCATAGGTGATCATGTAGCCTATTCAGATTATATTCAAAATATTGTAATGCATCAAGATTTTTTTGTGTGTGTTGTATGTATTCTTTCACATCAGTTTGTACTTTTTCTATAAACTGATTTATTTGCAACTTTTAACATAAGATTATAAGCATGGAAACTCTTGACTGAAAATATTTAAAGATCAGTTGAAGTGTTGCAAATCCTGACCTGTTTTCTCTCGTCTCTTTCAGGAGCAGTAGAGTCACATCAGTTATGTCATCTGCCTTGCTTTTCATATTCAAAGCCTGACACAATCAGACTGGTTGTCTTTCTTTCTCCATAACATCCATGTTCTTGTACAGGACAGTCTGTGTGTATTTAATAAAATATTTAAAAAAGGAGATTAGGTTGCTAAGGATGATTTGAATGTGATTTTTTTTTTTTTTTTATAAAAAATGGCCCTACAGTAACATGCGTTCCAAAAATCATAGCCTTCTATTAGAACCCCAGTGACAGCATCCCACGCTGTCGTCTAGCTTTTGACCAAGGCCAAGATGATATTTGGCAACCGTGCTAAACTAGTGCACTTTGCTTAAAGCAAAACATTTGCTCAAACCTGCAGTGTTGGCATGGTGACAGTTCTCCAGTAGTGAAGTACAAGCATACCTTTTTTCTTTTTTTAATCTGGCATGCTTATAATTGCACTATTGTAATGTTGGTTTTTACATAAAGGTAAAAGTACATATCGAAATAAGTTCTCATGCATGACTTTGTTCAGAAGTAAGGCTTCAGGGAATTGTTGCAGGCATGTTGGCTGTAATGATTATAAAATTTCATATTTTGCTTTTGTCAGAGGTATACAACAGTTTAGGAAGATATTTTCAGCTTTTTTCATCTTGGAATAAACTTTAATTTCAAACCCCATTTTTTCTCCGTTCTAATTTTCAGATGTTATCACTATTATAATTGCACAACCAAAAACACAATTGATCATGATCAGTTTTTAAAAAAACTAAAAAATTAATTATGCACTTGGACATCTATGTACAATGACTAAATTTCCACATCTCAGTTTGCAAAAAACATAAATGACAGAAATGCATTTAAAAGGGAAGTCTATTGTGCAATAGCAACTATATTGAAAACATTACTGTAGTCTATGTTTTGACAATCAACCACAAAAAAAAAAAAAAATTGGTGGCGGTACCAAATATCACAGTCAAGATGAAGCACAGAAGAAAAAGTGTTCACACACACAAAATGTCTGGTAAAATTACATTTTAATCATTTGGTAGCAATCTTAATATAATTTTTTTTTCTCCATATCTCACATTTACATAAGCCTTTTGTTCGATGTTAATTGCTTGCCTCAATTAACCCTGAATAATGATTGGCTGTGAATGTGCATAAAGTCGCATTAAGAGCGCGATGCTCAGACACGCTTTATGCCCAGCGGCAGAGTGCGGATCCCTCAGGCACCCTGAAGTGGACGATACAGGGATTAGAAGGGCGCAGGGAACCGCAAAGACGCCAACACAGTTACCTCTAGTGCACTCGTCTGCTCCCTTTTACTCAATTACAGCCACAATTACTGAATAAAGAACACTGAGCTCATAAAAATGCATAGAAAGCAAACAGAACTCTACCTTAACGGGAAGAACTGGACCGAGATAAGTTTGTTTTATAATTCACTCATCTAAAAATATCTATACGGTATCTTGCTCTTGTAACGCCCCTTCTCTTTCTCTCACACGCTCTCGTACCGAAGCCCACCTCTCAGCTGCCCTCCCCCAAAGAGTGTCATCATGACACTTAGCTTTGAAATATTCTTGACAGGCACAGAATTGCTCATACTGGTGCGAAGCATTGAAGAAGCCAGACTATTGACAAGGAAATGTGTCATTGTATTGCTTTGCTCATCTCACGTTAACAAATGGAGGGATGGCAGCTGGACATCCTTGCACTGGTGTGACTGAGGCACAGAGAGGGAGTGAAATCACCAACCTTGCCAGGGGAAAGATGGAAAGGATTACTATAAACGGGACATCTTGATCTTTTTCGCCACCTGAGGTGGGCTGCATCAGATTTCAGTGAGGTGACCCGCAGATCAACTGTTTCACATTCAGCATCACTCTCTCAATGCACTTGAAAAACGCTGGATGTGTGTTCGCTTCACCGAGACCACAGGAAGCGCATACAGTCCTATTCAACTCTCCGATGATGAGTGGCTCACCTATCCCTCGAGTAGAGGCAGCATCAGGTGTGGATGCCTGGAATGTTCACAGGAGCTTCAATGACAGCGGTACTATCGGTGATGGTTGGAGCATTAGTGGCAGCGGTCCCTGGCTTCTCGCAGTCATGCTGTCCCTCATAATTCTGGTGACAGCTTGTGGGAACATTTTGTTGATTGCCTTGGTGTTTGCACATCGGTCGCTGCGCTGCACCTCCAATTGCTTCCTAGTGTCCCTCTTCCTGTCAGACTTGATGGTGGCTTTGGTCGTGATGCCCCCTGCTATGCTCAATGTGCTGTGTGGGACCTGGGTGCTGGCGCCTGGATTCTGCCCCGTCTGGCTTTGCTTCGACGTGATGTGCTGTAGTGCCTCCATTCTCAATTTGTGTGTCATCAGTCTGGACCGCTACCTCTTCATCATCTCTCCGCTGCGATACAAACAGCACATGACCCCGCCTCGTGCCTTGCTTCTGGTGGGTGGGGCTTGGGGGTTGGCAGCCCTCACTTCCTTTCTGCCAATCAAGATGGACTGGCACAGCCTTGGTCGCATGCAAGACCTTTCCGAGAATGATCCCGCCAACACCACAGTCTCGCAATTGAGTTTCTTCTACCCCTCTTCGTACTTCCAGCTTACCACGTCAGGGACGCCGTCCATGCAGTGCCGCCTGCGGGTGACTCTCCCTTTTGCCCTCGTTGCGACCTTTCTCACCTTCTTCTTGCCTTCTACAGCCATTTGTTTTACCTACTGCCGGATCCTGTTGGCGGCCAGAAGACAGGCACGACAGGTGGAGGCTCTTACTCATCCTCCTTACCCACATCATTCACCAGGCGAACCATCTCATCCTCCTTCTACCAGTCATGCCATCCAGGATGGAGATGACTACAGCCATCAGGAGCCACCCGTGTTGCGGCAAGCTCTGGTGAGAATTCCTGAGTCAGAGAAAACGGTGGGATAGAAATTCAATTCTTCAAGTAGCAAGTCTGAGAATAGTTATTAGATGCAATTTCTGGTGAATGTATTGCTTCATGTATGTGTGTAAGAGAGAGTGAATTCTTCTTAAAACTTGCCGAGAACTCTCGACAAACTAAGCCACTTGGGAGTGCATGCATTCTCAAACTGTTTTGGCCTATTGTTCATTCACGTACCCACTGCTTATGCAAGTGAAGGCTGTGTGATCACCGACACAATGCAGCATGTTGAGAATGTGTAGAGAATTCCCAGCACCTTAACAAACACAAAAAGAAAGCTGAAATATGTAGCGGAAAAGGAAAACTCAATTTTAAGGACTGGAACAGAAAGTAATGAGAGACAAGATGAGGGTGTCGGAGTGCCAATAAGGCATTTGAAGGTGAGGAAGGGCAAAATGGGAGGGTAGAACTATTCAGACCTTGTGAGGCACTCACTTTCAAGAGCTTTCATCTGAGAGAGGGAAAGACATAAATAATTACCCAAGGCCAAAGTAACATTACTACCCATCTCTCAGCAGGTGCATCACTGTGAAACCTCTTAAGAATACATTATTTTCTCTCTCTCCGTCTCTTTGTCTCAGTTGTCGGTGAACAGTGAGCGCAGACTGGCACACAGGGAAAGAAAGAGAGCTCTGAAAGCCAGTCTTACCCTGGGAGTGCTCCTGGGTCACTTCTTCAGTGCCTGGCTTCCCTTTTTTATCACCAACATGGCACAGGTCAGTCCACAAAACAAAGTCAAGAAGCATCCTCATTCACGTTGACTGCTAAACTCACTCACATATTGAACCTTACCTTGACCTTAACAAGCATGTAACAAAAAAAGGAGATGGGTGGTAAATTAATTGCAATATGACAAAGTGACGAAGAGAAAGATTCCTATTTAATTGCGCAATTATTCCTTATTCTGCTCTCAAGCTTTCAAGGATCCCGTTCCCCATCTGCGTCCCTCACTTTGCTCAAATTTCGAGCTTCTGGGCAAGCCTGTCTCTAGCCCTTCTTCACACACAATATGGTGTGTGAATAGCACTCCATCTCTATCTCCTACTCTCCCCTTCTTCATCCGTGGCATCCTGACATCCTCTTCCGATGAACTAGACATCTTTGACCTTTTCCACCTCTTTGGTTTTGAGTCTCAGCTACATCATGTATTGATTTTGTGATCTAAGACCTTTTCTTCTGTACATTCAGGCGGTGTGTGAGTGTGTACCACCTTCCTTCTTCGATGCCATCACCTGGCTGGGCTACTGTAACAGCACCATGAACCCAATTATATACCCAATGTTCATGAGGGATTTCAAGAGGGCTTTGGCACGGCTTCTACCCTGCTGTTCTTCATCTCAAGCACCTCGTAGGCCATCGCTGCCACTTTCCATTTCTCTACGCAACTCAGGGGAGCCACAACTACCCACTGAACCCCCCTCCCTTGTGTCCGAACCGCCACAACTACCGGCGACGGCAACAGATGCTGTTAACCTTCTCGATGCGGAACACGCTGGGATTGACCTGCCTCTGCTGCTGCCCAACCAGGTCGATACATTAGACGATTGATACGGCAACAAATGAAGTGCAATATACTGTGGACAGCAAGATATGTGACTTATAACTATAGGTTTATGAAAAAAAATTTGAAACATACAATGCTAAAAAAAAAAAAAAAATCAATGGGATAAGTGTTAATGGGATAGTCAGGCCTAAACTGGAAGGCTGCATCGCTCCTCAAGGCAGATCATAGAGATTGTACATTTTTAACAGACTCCACACGCATCCCGGTTCATTCATTACCATAACAACCAAAACAACAGATGGATAAAGCAGACGAGAGTGAAAGAAATCTCACTAATACTTCACACAATGTCAAGTGGGTTGTCTGTGGAACTATAATTCACATCTTAATTAAACAGCAAACCACTTCTAATGAAGGGGGAAAATGGTATACATGAAATACTGACAGTTTTCACATAGCAGTTTATCACAAATTACATTGAGCAGTGCTTAAAAAATCATGAGATGATATCCACAAATAACTTATTATATATATATTATTAGACAATATCAGAATGACAAAAAGACAAGGTTCCAGTTGATCCTAGCTTATATTGCTAACTTACATTCTGGGTGGTGTCTAGATGGTAACCCTTCTTCTGCCAAAAGTCTTGAGAGATTCACATGTGACATTCAAACACTGTGTTTATTTGAGTTCCACAGCGACCCTACGCACAACCCTCAATCCTGGTAGCAGCAAATGCGACTCTCAGGAGAGTTTCTTGGAACAAGGTATACCATCTAGACCCGACCCACATTTTTTGAGTTGTGAATTATGGAAATGTCACGATTTCATTGCTCTTGGCAAGAACCAGCAGGTTTGCCAATGACTAACTGTTCGTGTGCTTCAGTGTGCGACTGGTAGGTTGTGTTTGTGCATTCAGTAGTCCAGTTCGTGTCATCCCAGTCCCAGGATGTGTGCTCACAGTATGTGTCACTTTCATCTTCTCTGTCTATTTTGCCTTCATCTTGAGATGGTTCAGGGATGCCATCACATTCACTGATGGAGTCCAATAAATCAGATATATCAGGGATATCCCAGCCATTCTCAGAGTTTTTCCTCTCACACCGTTCCTTGTCTCCAGTCTGTTTCTTGTATTCATTTACATTTGTCTCTGTGGTGTCTGAGGTATCATTGTTTGAAATGTCCATGGATGGTTCCCCCATGACTCTGCTCAGACCAGCTGGTTCTGGAGTGCCTGTTTTTTCCTGAGATAAATGTACCAGCTGTAGTTTGCCACTCAGGGCTCCAGCTTCTTCCCTGGTAGGAACCCCTACTGCTACTAGGATGGTGTCCATCTGACGCATGTAGTCCAGGTGTCCTTTTACCTAAGAGGTGGACAGAACATACCCAGTATTCAGTATTCATAAAGCAAGTGGAAAAGACTTTACATTCCCTAACAATTTTACAGTGCTTGAGTGCATTATTATATTGATATCCTCATTCTAATTTTAGTGGTGCTTGCAAACTTTTCAGAAAAATCAAGCTTTGGTGTATAACTCAGCCATGCATGATACCTCAAACCACGCAATGTATGTTAGTACTTTTTTTAAGCTATCAAATTTACATTTTTTCATGCCCTGGTGGACGATAAAAGCAGTGGAAAAACTCCCACTGATTTATATTATAAATAGAGAGGCCTGAACCAACATACAGAGAATCGGCTGGAATCCTTTGATTTAGGCCAGTAAGTAACCACCTAGCAACCATCCAGAATACCCTAGCAACAGACTAAAGGACACCATAACAATGTTTTGCACAGGCAAGGACCAGTGTAAAATGTACATAAAGGTTGATGCCATATTTAATTTTTCACAAATAAAAATATAGAATATACGCAGTCTTTTCAAGGGGTTGTAATGTTTTTAACTCGGCTGACTGATACTTTGCTGACTGATTTAATTTATTTTCACTATAGCTGCTTTGACATTGCAACATCACATGATGTGACTAACTTTAGCTAAGTTTTTATATGAACAGCGAGATTAAAATGGCTCCGACAAACCTAAAACTGTAACACTATTCTCTTACAAGCACTGGTATTTATTTCAGGAAATGCATATTTAGTTGCTCATTAACATTTCTTCACATGCCAAACGAAGGTGCAATTCTTCACATGCCTCACATTGCAGTCGCATAATAATTATGTATTACATGAAAATCATTTTACGGCTTTCACGAAAAAAGCATGACATGACAAAAGCTACAAAGCATTTCTTTATTTGTTCTGGATTAAGGCAGGTGTGATGTAACCTGTATTCTGTGTCTACGAGTTAAGGAAGATCTCAGATCCAGTCCTTTGTTTACAATATGTCACATGGATGGCTGGCGTGATGACCTCTGTTGAGATGCACAGACTATCTGTTGCTCAGTGTAACTTAGAAGGCATCGTTACGAATGGATCATTTTAAGTTCAAGTGACTTGATTTTTTTACATTTGTGCGTTGCATAAAATAACACTCTTTTTAGGTCATTTTTCCATTTTTTTATGACATAACAGCATTGGATTTAAGGTCTCCACTTGAATACCAACGAGCGCAACTTCCTGCGACAGTAATTGTAGTATTTCATGGGTGACAATATAACAATGCCCTTTCTATTCACGGCAGGGGGTGCTCTGCAAAAAGCATTAAATCATTTTTGTCCAAAAAAGAAACTTCAGATGACTTCAAATCTTAGCCAACTGGAAGGAAATGAAACTTCGACTCTGCGATAATATAATGTCAAGCCATTGTGTGGAATTGTTACTTTTGCAGCCAGTAAACTGAATCTGAATCTAAATGCATCTCACAGACACCAAGAATATTTAAAAAAGAACATCTACCGAGAACATCAGGGACTTAATGCTCAGTGCACAAATGCATTTGCTTACCACTGATGACAGATCAACATTGATTATTTTGCGGTCTTGCGAACTGATTGGCTGCAGCCCAGCAACAGACAGTTGGACAGATGAACTTCTGTACAGGAATCCAAGAAGCCAATCCCCTCTAAACCAATAAAAACAAAAAGAAACATATTTACGTATTTAGTTAATGCAATAACTGTGACTTTCAATTAAAATTAACAATAGTTATGACAAATTATTAAATGTAGTAAACAAAATCATAATCTCCAGATTTGTTTGCAGTTAACATGTTGAGACTTCCTGTTACTTTTTAATAAATAACTAAATGAATAAATTGTCAATTCTAATTCTTCATCTGGTGGCCTAAAATGTAATTCTGTAAATGTGTCATTTAAATTTGACTGAAGACTGGAGTAATGATGCTGAAAATTCAGCTTTGCATCACAGGGATAAATTACAATTTAAAATATATTCAAATAGAAAATACTTTTTTAAAAAACTGTCATATCATCTGTTTTTACCGAGCATGAAAGACTTCTTCCAAAAACATTTTAAGAAATCTTACCGGACTCAAAAGTTTGAAAAGTAGTGTATAACAGAAAAAAGAAAGTGAGTTTCAGCAAATTTGAATACTTATGGTAAGGGATTTGAACATACCCCTGACCCTCAGTAGGAGTAATATTAATAGTGTCTTACTTGCAATATCCATTAACAATCTTCCCAGCCACTACCCTGGACAGTCTCTGCCATGCTTTCTCCGATCCGTCCACAGGGGCCCCCAGCAACACCACATCCTCCACCACACCTTCACTACCTGCCCGATAATAAGAGACAAAAGTCCTTCAATGGGCTCTGTGCGATCAGATTCTCATTTGCAGCCTCACACCTCTGACTCCATCTTTCATTACGATGACAAAGAGAACACGACTCAATCTGGCTTGCAGGAAATTTGGCCATGCCCAGCTCTCTCATGTGGACACTTCTTGAGACACAAGGTCTTAAAGACAAAAGGATGTTCCCTCGTTATCAGCGACTCATTAAAAATGAATAAAAAGTGTACCTTGATCATTAGCGAGCTCTTCTAGGCAGAAGTAGATGACGCGAGCTCCAAGGCTAAAGCCAATTAGATTGACAGGCCGCTTTCCCTGCAGAAAGAAAGAAGATAATTATACTCACATTTGAAAGGAATATTCTGGGTTAATATTATATAGATGATTAACTCTATACTGCCAACTGTACCATGTTTAATATGTAATAAGGCCTTTAAATAAACAATATGATCATGCTGAAAAACCTGTTGTACACAATAAACTACACACCTTCTGTCATCTAATTGATAGTTTATACTTTTTTAGCAAATAAAAGGCCTAGAACTGTAAAAATGTCTGCCTTCAGGTTGTGGTTCCTGTGTTTATTTTGTGTGTGTGTGTGTGTGAAAATTTTACTGATTTTTAAAAAGTAAATATAAGTAAGCATTATATTGTTATTAATATTTCAAGATGACCATTTACTGGACTGAAGCAGCTTAGGTTTACTTATCCATTCTTCATTTTTCTGAAAAATCATGTTAAAATGTATCAGGCACATTTTTGAGGAACATTTATTTGTCCATTTCTCAATTACCATTGTATTGCGTTGCATTATATGTTTTGAAACTACATTGCTTTGATAATAAAACATTTCAATATCTTACCAAGACATCTTATTGAAAGATACAGAGTGACAATTGATATTCATATGCATTTTATGTAACTAGTCTGTTTTACCGTAATATAAATCAAATTTATTTATCAGGATTTCATCTGACCCTTTGGCCATACAAATATCAGCAACTGATTCAAATTGCATATTTTTGCTCAGTTTGGGCCTCTGAATAAAACCAAGGTGTTTTTTCTCCTCAAGTATGAGCCACAGATACTGTCCTTCGAGCTTGTATGTGACCCCTAACACTTTTCGAATTAGTCATTTCAAGCCGCATTGAACTGAAATCGTCAAAGACTAAGGAGAAGCTTGAGGAAGTCGATGTCTTGCATGACTCCGCTTGACTCTGACCTGCCGTCGGCTCCGGAGCACCTGGGCCAGGTGTTTTCCCACCTCTGCTGATCGGCTCAGGCACACTCCCCAGGGGTTGTCGATCACACTGGCCACAGCCAGCAGAGACGCAGGCCATGTCAGAGCCGTTACTATGCCTGAACACAGACAACAGAGTGAGCAATGCGGTTATACTGGACACCTTAAAGCAATGCGTGACAAATAAAATCTTCTTTCAAAAGTGCATTTAATAAGTGCATTTACAATTAAGGCACTTTCCAAAAGGGTATAAAATAGGGTCGGAAAAATTAAGTAATATGTTGTTCAGGAGGACAAATGGTAACACTTTAGAATAGGGAACACTTATTCACTATTAACTACGACTTTTCCCTCAATAAATTGCATGCTATTAATACTATGAAACAGGAAGTTGTTGTAACTCATGCATACAATTCCCAATCTGCCCCATCAAACAAGTTATCATATCTACTAATACAATTTCTGAATTAAAAAATTCAGACTTACCCAGAACCGTCAGTTTGGTCCCTTCTCCAAATTCTAGTTTTGCGTAGCTATTACATGGTGATTTATCTCATTACCTAAACCTCAACAACTAACAGCTAATAATGGGCAATGGTACACTGTTTTTGGGGGCCCCTTTTCAGTTTGAGACCATGAAAGCCATAGTGGCCTCCCAGCTGTTACCCAGAGAGGCCTCTTCTGAGCAGCAGGTATAGCAGACAGAAATTCCGTTTTTTTGTGTGCATTTTTGTGCATTTAAATGTGCATTATGATCTTAACAGTAATTAAAACTAACAAAAATGGTAAATATATACAGTGGCCCCAAGAACATTTGGTAACACTTTAGAATAGGGAACACTTATTCACTATTAACTACAACTTTTCCCTCAATAAATTCCTACTTTGCTGCTTATTAATAGTTAGTAAGGTAGTTGTTAAGTTTAGGTATTAGGTAGGATTAGGGATATAGAATAAGGCATTAATATGTGCTTAATTAGTACTAATAAATGGCTAATATTCTAGTAATATGCATGCTAATAAGCAACTAGTTAAGAGACCCTAAAATAAAGTGTTACCGGACAAACAAAATACTATACGAGTTGTTTTACTTTCTATTGTAATCCTGTTATCAAATACAGTTTAAACTTTTCCATAAATAGCGAACATGAAAAAAACTCAATATTAAATATGCAAATGTATTTATACATACACACACACATATATATAGATATAGTTAATAGATAGATAGATAGATAGATAGATAGGGTACCCGGGATGGTTGCTAGGGTGTTGCTATGCGGTTGCTAGGGTACCCGGGGCGGTTGCTAAGGTGTTGCAATGTGTAGATAGAACGATAGATAGAACGATAGATAGATAGATAGATAGATAGAACGATAGATAGAACGATAGATAGATAGATAGATAGATAGAACGATAGATAGAACGATAGATAGATAGATAGATAGATAGATAGATAGATAAATAGATAGATATACTGTACATACTACCCTTCAAAAGTTTGGGTCAGTAAGATTTTTGAAAATAGACTCTTATGCTCACTGAGGCAGCATTTATTTAATCAAAAATACAGTATAACAGTAATATTGTGAAATATTACTACAATTTAAATAACAGTTCTCTAATTTAATATTTTTTTAAATGTAATTTATTCTGGTAATCAAAGCTGAATTTTCAGCATCATTACTCCAGTCTTCAGTGTCACATGATCCTTCAGAAATCATTCTAATATTCTGATTTGACACATTATTTTAGGATGATATATAGAATTTTGATATATAATTCCAAAGAATTTTTTAGCATTTATTTGAATGTATTTAAATTTATTTGAAATGTAAATATTTTATTATATTCTGGGTTCTAAACATTTTACTTTAAAAAACTGGACACATTTGCTTTATTTATTTATTTATTTATTTAGTGATTCTGTTAAAATAGACTGTGAGCTAGAGAAAAGACTGATTTGCGCTTCTGAAGGTGCGTGGGAGGGAATGCTGCCACTGATTAAAACTGCAACGGCCACTCAGCAAAACATTAAAAATTCCAGCACTGGATCATCATTCATTATAACACACATGAATAAATAAAACAAACTCCAGCTCAACAATTAGAGACACTTAATTCTGTATTCGACACATCCCTGCTGAGACGACTCAAAAATGGCCCAATTTAGACTAGATTTAAGATCAAGTGAATAACTATGACTGCACAGTTCAACACTTACATAAGATAAAGCACAAGAGACTTTCTATTTTCCTCAAACCAGTAGTTCTATCTTTTTATAGCTTAACAGCATTAGCACAGTAAAGCAGACATACCTGAGAGCACTGTGTATTTGAGGGCCTCCTGAGCCACAACACTAACAAGCCCATCCCATAATGAGTCCAGAATAGAGCCCAGGTCCAATAAATAACGCGACTCCCATTTCAGACAGTACTGCTCGCCACACGCTCCTAGACTGGACCAGGGAGCCTGAAACGAACCTATGATGGGCAAGTCAATCTGAACCTTAGTGTCAACAATATTTCATGGGTACTTTGGGCTTATTACAGTAAAGGGATAGTTCACCCTAAAAAGAAAATTTGCTCAATATGTACTCACCCTCAGCTATTGACTGTTCAAATGTGGAGTTTTGCGCATCGTGTGTGTGTATGCGCGCGCGTGTGTGTGTGAGAGACAGAGTCAGCTGTCTTAACCATGTCTCACATCACAGTGGAGTCAGCTGTCTTAACCGTGGCTTGTGCTACATTTCTACAAATCTGTTCTGATGAAGAAACAAACTCATGTACATTTTGGATGGCCTGAGGGTGAGGACATAATTCAGCAAATTTTTATTTCTGGGTGAACTATTCCTTTAAAGGGGTCATATGATGCGATTTCAA